GAAAGACTCACACTGGTCTCCCTGGAACACTTGTAATTTATCACTTGAGATTATTGTCTTTATTACCTAAAGTAAAACAAACATGTAATAAGGTGCTCTTGAAGTAAATGAAATCAATTAGTTAAAGTGCATCTCCATTTAGATAGTGATTTATAAAATCTCATAATTTTAAAAATATTTGATATGCATAACATGGTATATATTTTTGGATGATAGTAAACCAGATCTGATTGGACTCTGTAGGTTTTTAATAAAGATCTCAAGTGAAACACCTTGAATAATCAGGGCAAACTGTTGTCCATGACTTTGAGTTAGGAGGCACATTAATATCCCGGTCTGGTGGGCTGCAATCATCAGTGTTAATAAGCACTAAAGAACCAACCCAGGTCTCATTTCTTCATTACTTTTAAAACAGCAAAAAAAATTTTGCAGCCCTTTGCAAAATGTCTGTAACTTATGGATAATGTCGTGGACTATCAGTAGATTTTCTTTCAGAAAACTCTATTTACAGTTTATTTACCTCTTTTATGTGTTGACATGTAATTCAGCACTTTTTTCTAGGTTTGGGATCATCAGGTGCATTTGGACACAAAAAGGGAATTCAATCTATATACAGAGTGTGTGGGAACGAGCTGAGAAAGAAAATAGGAAAGGAGTGAGGTTAATGTATTTCATACATAATACTAAAGTGTTTGATATAATGAGATAACATGCAAATCAAATTCCATTTCTATTTGCATTTCCTTCCAAAGAACAGATGTGGATTCTGACTCTCGCCCCCCAGATTTTATCATTCCTCATCTATGAAGGACAAGAGGTCTCCAAAAATTCCAAAGTGGCTAGCTTGGCAGTATTTGCTGATTCTTGTACCACAATATATCAGAGTTGCCAGCAGAATATCTTTGCTAACGAGGTGGCTACTGCAGCCCTTGTTCTTTGTCTCTTCCATAGCTTTTGCAGGGAACAAAAGAACCTCTTTTTCTTGCTGTTCTAAAAATTGTCTGTTTTTATTGCTGGAATAAATGCTTAACCTCACAGTTCTGAGCGAAGTGTGCAGCAGCAGCAGCCGGCAAGAGCCCTAACCCTGATGGAGTTCCCTGCAGAGCCACTCAGCCTTCCCTGCCTTGTTGGCTCTGCTGCAAAGCTCAGCCCTTCTGTGCTCCAGCAGATTAAAGCTTTGGGGCCAGCCGGGCTCTAACAGCAGGATCAGTCTTGGAACTACTGACCTGCTTCCTAAGGAAGCCCAAGAAACATCACAAATGAATTTATAACAGTGTTTTTATAGTGGTAGTTAGAGGTTAAATAGAGAGAGAGAGACATAGTTCATGCTAACATAAAGAGAATCTGATAAACAGGTCAGGAAGAAGTCATGATTTTGAAGATTTATATTTTTGCTGTCCAGAAGAGAAGTCTGTTTCCATGTAAGCCTTTTAAAATAGAATAAAGAAACCTCACAGGACATTTAAATTCTGTTTAATTGGATAATTATTTGGTATAATTTTTGTTCTATAAACTTACAAATGCAAGTCATTAAACATGAAGAAAAAACGTTTCTATATTTGATTACACAAATGCTGTCACCCTCTCAGCCCACCCAAACATATGGACACTAGTGTATCAACAGGCAAAATTTTGACCTCAAAAAAATGCTAATTAATAACATGTTAACTTTACAGATACAACTAAAAATCACACTTTGGATCACACTGTTGCCAGTCTGAAGTGTTAAAAATTATTATTGGCTGGAAGCATGAGGGTTTTCTTTTTTAAAACTAAAATCTGTTTGTTTGCCATGTCTATGTAGGCATATTAGAGTTCACTCCAGTTTTCCCTTCCAGCCTTTTGGAATGGAAATTTCACTTTACTGTCTAAGCTAATTCAGTATCAATCACAGGAATATGAGGATCAGAAATTTTATAAGAGAAGTTTGAGATAAGTGCAATTGCCTGGTTGTTGGTAATGCTGAGGTAATTTGAGGTAAAGAATTTACCATAAACAAGAAAGGAGAGAAAACCTCACATGTGGGTATTGCTCTTCCAAGAAATATGTGCTGTTTCTGGAGTAACACATCATGATATGCAAAGCTCTATTGTAACACCTTGTAAACGAGGTATTGTTCTTCATGCAGTGCAATATTGGCACCTAAACTCGGGTTTACTGGTTGTTCCTATGTAGCTTTGTGCTGCAGTTACTGAAGGCTGATAAAATTGGCATAGTGAGAAAACATGCTTGTGAAAATCTAGTATAAATTATTTTTTGCAGTATTCCTCCAGTGTATGAATACTGCACAGAATGTTCCCACATATGACCTTATTTTTGTTTGTGTAACCCTGGACAGGAACCACTACTGCATCTCCTGAGACACCAGCAGTGGGACCCAGTATGTTATGCTGGTGCTTTATTTTAGTCATGCTAAGAGGCATAATTACTGTAGATTCCAATTTATTCATGAGGTCAATCTTTGATAATGGAAATGGAAATGATCCTATCCTCTGTTGCAAGTTTTAGTATCTTTGTGACATTTGCATGTTTAAACAAACATATTCATTATTCCCTTAGATTTAATGGGTGTTGAATGCTGATTTGACTAAATTTTTTTGTAACAAACTATTTATGTATCTTTGTAACCACTTGCTGTTTCTTTCATATGTTGTAAGAATATTTTCAGTGTAGTGTAATGACATTTCTTCACAGTCCAAAAGAATTGCTTTTAGAGGCAGCTTTCATAAGATTCTTAAGCAAATGAAAAGATTGAGCACAAGCAAAGAAATGTATTAAGTTCCTTATTTTAATCCATCCTAAATCATTTAAACGTGTGTATATTTGCATGTGAAAGCTGCTGCATTATCATTCCAGTAGAATTGTTGATATAAATAATGCCAGTCACTGTCTACCTTCTATTTTATTTTTAGCTGGAGAAGCCTCTCCAGAGAAACACCAATTCCTATTTAATTGCCTTAGAATTTTATAGATGGAGACGAATCCATTAATGAATCATGCATCACTGTGAACTGATAGGATTGCTGAAATGCCATGTAGTCCAAATTTGCAATCTTAGAAAACATAAGATGGAGTTTATTGTTTTCAGAATAGTCATTCTGTATATGAATCAAGAGCCTTTTTTGTGTTGAAAACTTTTATTTGTTGGAGGATGCCAATGCCACTTCTTTACTATCATGTTTGCATGTGAGGTAATTACTGCAGCACAGGGTTTGCACCTGTCTGGAAGTGGAATGAGAAATGATTTTCAAGGAAAAATTTAAAGAGGTAAAATTTTTAAAGCGTCAGAGTATCCCAATTTTTATAATATCCTATTCCAAAATATAGGAAATTGGGAGAATCCTGTCTAACTTTCAGATCTTGTTTTAAATCTCTATTTACAATGTGCAGACCAGAAAATTAAAATCTCCTGCCTAATAGTTGTACAACTCCCTCTGTCAGATGTACAGAAGTGCTCTTACTTCTTCTGTGATGTCAGAACTTGCCAAAAATAATCATTGATGAAGAACTGGTTCTAATTACTCATTTTATGTAGTCCATTTTGATTTCTTGAGTTGCACATGCGAGTAAAGATTTGTCTCATCCACTCAAAGTTAGATGGAATTCTGGATTTAGTGGCATTTCCTTTTTTCAGGAAAATGGGAGGGAGAGGACAAGTATCTGCAGCTGATAACAAAGCAGAACTAGCCTTTAGTCAGCAGGCTTTCTTCAGACACTAACGCCTTGAACAGGTTCAGACTTCTATGCTGATGCTCTTAAGTACCTCACAGAGGAGGAAATCAATCAGGCTTTGAGTTTGGAGGAGCTCTTAGATGGAAATCTTACCCTTGATGACCAGTTTGCCCCTTCAAAAGCTGGCATCTCCACAGCAGAGCAGCCCATGAAAGGCCCAGCAGTGAGGGGCAGCTGCACGAGTGCTCTGCTGAGGACTCTGCATCTGACCCAACATTTTAAAAGGAGCGAGGAAAGTCAAGAGGAGGAAGGGAGCTCTTGAAAATAATTGTCCCAGAGCAACTTCCAAATAACCTTTCTCTACCTTCCTGGAAGATTTTTTTTGGTCAGCTTAGTGCTGAAGTAAAGGAGAGGAAGCTTGGGCAAAGTTGCTACTCTTTTATTTTTTAATGCATGTGGAGAAGTCCTAGAATAAGAGTCCAAAATTGCTCGGAAAAGCCTTTGCACTCAAGCTGAAACTTAGCACATAGCAAGTGACAAAAAGCCCCATCAAATAAGGTGTAAAATGGAAAGATTCCCCATTTCAATTATATTAAATGGGTATAGGGGAAACTTAGAATAAAGAGGATTATCCTTGGTCCAGGAAGAAAATAGGGAGTGTTTTCATGCCTCCTTAGCCTGTGCTTTTGTCTGCTGACAGCTTGACTTGATGAAGAACAGAGAAGTTTAGTTTGTTGACTTTTACAGCTTAACAAAACTGTAACTATTATTTGATTGTTCTTATCTGTTCTACATATGGCACAAGCAAGTTCAAGGCCCCCTGTCCCGGAGTGTGAGACCTCTGGAGAGTCTGCAGGGCAAGGACCTGCCTTTGCAGTGTAATAGAACTCCAGTTTAGTGAGCTTTGGTTGTGATGACCAGGTTGTAATAATCCTGGCCTCTGGAAATTTGGTAGTCAATGTAATGCATTAAAAGAGAAGGCCACACAACTCTGCAGGAGACTTCTACCAAGGTTTTACTGACACTGTTCTTTGCTCCCCTGCAGTGAATAAAATAGCCTGGCAGCTCTGCAACTGATGGTCTGGTGTGCTAATATTTTATACTGTATTGTCTTTATAAGCATGGCACATTCTTTTCATATTTCATATGGTGTCTTAAAGTTCATCTACTTCACCTAAAATCCATAACTGCAATGCTGAAAAAGTACTAATAAGGCAACTTGACCAGAAAACCAAACAAAACCAGCCCTTGAACTACTGGAAATCTGTTGTTAGAATAGTTCCCCATGGAACATTATTGTGAATTCTGTTTTTCATTCTTTCTTTCAGGCTCCTTTGTATTCAGTTAGAAAAAAGAAATTCAGCTGAACACACCCAGGAAAAAGGTAGGGGGTTTTTTATTTGTGTGGGGGTTTGTTTGTTTGTTTCTTTTATGACTTTGGAAATATTTGGGTTTTTTTCTTGACTGCTTGTATCTTTCTATAATGAGCATTATAAACTGATCTGCAGTGTGCCTCAGTAGTGTGCTTTATCTGTCTGAATTTCCATCAATAAAATTCATTTTGGCTTGCAGTTGTTAGTACTTTCTACACTAAGTATCAATGCCCACTGCTAAGTTGTGCCTATTGCATTGTCCCTTCTGCTGAAGTTGGCATTGCCTTTTTGAGAGCAGTTGTTGTAGATGGAACTAAATAGCATGGAATTTGAAACACCTCTTAAATATTCATTCTTTAATTAAGCATCTCATTTTTGACAAATTATATTTTGTATTTCCAGTCTATGTATGTCCATCATTCCTTTAGTGGTGGTTGAATTATTTCAGTAATCACTTCCCTTTCTATTGAGTAGCTGAGCAATTAGTTGAATAATCATTTAAGTAATTACTTCTTTGTTGACTAAGAGCAATCTTGATAGTGAAAATCCATACATGTTAGCAAATCAAAATGTGAGAGTTTTTCTGGTTCGCCAGATTAAATGGGTTATATCATGAGGTGGATTGAATCTGTGTTATAAATAGATGGGGCATTTCTGTCTCTCTAAATACATTTTGAAAATATGTTTCAAACTGTATGTTGTGTTATTTATTTGTATTGAGGTTAGGGGTAAGAAATTAAGCATCTGTTTGTTCTTTTTGGAGTAGAAACATCAGTGAATACTGCAGTGATTGAGCTGTTCTCACATTTGGTAGCATCTCATCCTCCCTACATTTCTTGAACATGAAGCATATGTGAAAGTTAAAATTGAGAGAAGCTCAAGAGCATTTTCCTATTATGTATATATTAGATGCAGGAGTATAACATGTATATGAACTATTATACTCTACAGAAGGCTTAATTCATTGTTGCAACAGACTGTACACAAATATCTGGGCACTGCATGTACCACCTGGAGTTTGTGGGGCTGTACCAGCATTTCTTCTGTATTGTGGACCATAAAGATGGATTCAGCAGTTTGCTTTCCCTTGTCCCTGTGACAGGCACTGTGACAGCACTTTATTGGCGTGTCAGAAAATTTTTGACTCAGATCAGTTGTAAAGAAAAGGCAAACTCCTTGAGCTGGGTAGCCCAGTCATTTTCCATGATTAGAAACTCTTACACCAGAAGTATTGGATTGTCCTTTAGAGCAAGACAGCTTGAGTGCTGAGAATGTTGAGTTTGTGAGGTTCATGTAGCTCCATATGCAGACTTAACCCAATGGGTTTCTGTGAGAGAATTGCTCATAAATTAGTATATGAGAATCACCGGCACTCAAACCTCCACACTTGATTCAGTGGAACTCTTCAGCAGAAACTTAAGTGATATAGAGCATGGGGACTTCAGAAGGACACTTGGTTGTCAGTGGAATGAGGCTTTCACATCAGCAGTAATGGGAACCTTTTGTCCATATACTTGCACTGTGCTTGTAGGAAGCTCAGAGCCTTATTTCTGGCTTTCAAGTGTGCTTAAAACCCAGAAAAATTTAGCTACTGATGCTCCCCACCCCCATCCCTGGTGTACAAGATCTGATTGAGGGTATGAGACAATAGACTTGGCTTTGTGCAGCCTTCAGCTGGCCATGTAGTCTATATGCTGTCTCCTGGTTTCCTCATAGCATAAACTTGAGTTTATTCCGTGATTTTAAGAATCATTCAACTTGCCTCCTTAGGCATCGTAGGCATCATGTATTTGAAAGCTTGCTCATGGGTGGGCTTTGAAAATGCTGTAGCATTTTCACAACACAAAGAATATTACTGAAGCATGGTCATGGTATGAGAAGTTCACAGCATTTGGCAAAATCTCTTTCCAGGAATTGTTTAGTGAATGTTCTTTTGTGACTAACTCTGACAATGTGACACTTGACAATCTTTACCTTGACTGTGTGCTGTTAGTGTACTATCAGCTATAATGTCCTCACAGTTTGCATTTCATCTTTAAACATTTAAGGTATGTCAAACCCCAAACAACATTTCATTCATGAGCAGATGTGTTTTGGGATTATCATATGTAATGTGAGGGACTACAACAGCTCCAACACTGATTTACAGGGGAAACATAAGCTTATTATTTTAGTAAGTGGCAGTCTGTGGAAGGGACACAGAAATCCCCCCAGATAATGGCTGGAGTTCTTTGCAGGTGTCAAGGATTTGTGCCAAGCATTCGCATTTGCAATAGAGCTGCCTAATAACTTACTGTATCTTGAGTTATCTGTGTGTTGCTGATTAGTTTAGTCTTTATATAAAGACATTTGCAAAGGATTTCAGTGCTACAAGCAGTATCCAAAAAACATATTTGGAAAAGTCAGGTTGCTCAACATTGGCTTTTGACTGGTCTAAACTGTACTTGGCTCTTTCAGTTCTTTCAGGTTTCTTGAAACAACTCTTTGGCTCTATTTTCTTGCAGTATTTTCCCTGAGTACAGCACTTTGCTTTCTCAGCTAATTGAGGTGGCTGAAGGTCAGCCTGTCTGACCAGGGAGCTACAACCAGGCCCTTTTGGAACCCTGAGGTACTTAGCACTGGAGATTCTCTGTGCAGATTATAGCACTGAATTGGAATTACTCTCCATATATCCGAAGTATATTAAATGTTTGTGCTTGAAAGGAGAGATTGGTAGGGCAGGAAGGGTTTCATCTACGTTGAATTAAGATTGTTCTAATTGCCCACACTGACTATCGGGGAAAGGATCGTGAAGCCTGGGGGAACTGAGAGTGAAAAAAAGGAAGTAAAAATCCAGCAGGAGTGTTGCTTTCAAGAGTTTTAACCAGCCTTGCCTTTGAACAAGGGGGATCTCCTTCAAGGATTGGGGCTGGGGGGAGAAAGGGGCCCCAGGCACCAAAATAGTAGAGTTGTAGTTGGCTGTATGATTTCACTATGTACTATGGAATATTTGAACGAAAGTATTACAATTACACCTTGGCATTAAATTCGTGATGAACTCTAGTATTTAACTTGTAGCCCTTTTAGAAAGTGAAGCTACTAATTACAACTATTATTTTTTGCTTGATTTCATTTTTATAGAATAATAAAAAAAATAGAAAACCATCTAAAAAGAATTTTTAAAAGGCATTTCTGGATACAGTGTGTTTTCAATCTTCTATGGTAAATAAGATCATATAATCCTTTTGAGCTTCAAGATGCTCTAGAATTTGGTTTCACAGTTGCTGCATTGCATATTTTCTCTGGCTCATTTATACCAATCTCAAAGCTTATTATTGAAACTTTTAGATCAGTGTTTAAAAATAGTAACATCAATTAGAAATTACTTTAAAGATAGATCTCAGTACATCATCTAAATAGGGTTATTCATAGAGATAATGCTATAATTGAAGCATTTAGTGATTTTCATGAATTTGTGATGAAGAGTGATATAGAGTTACAACAACAAAGACAGATTTTTTAAAAGTATAAAATAGTTTTCTATACAAATTTAATCTTCCAAAGCTTATAATTCTTACCATGATAAAAAGGCTCCACCCAAAATATCAATTTGCTGCATAAATAATTATAAACTTTTGTCTGAAAGCTTGTGTTCTCCCAACAGAGAACTAAAAAATGCACAGTAATGTGAGCTGTGTTACCTCCTCACCAGTGGCAATAAATGGTATTCTAGAAAACCTAATAAAGTTGATGATAATGGGAACGCAGACAATAAAAATCCCAGTAAAATTTTCTTTTGTTTAAATTATGAGTTTCAGGGGGCAGGAAAACTGGCTAGAGAAGAGGAGTTTGTGAATGTGCAGGAGCGTCTTTTCAACAAACTGTTCTCATCTGGGGAAAGAAGATGGATGGCAGTGTCTTTCAGCCCATCAGGCTATTTTTGCTGGCTTAAAGGCACTTCTGTCTATACACTTCCAACCATGGATTTTTGGAATAAAGCCAGTACCAGGCTGCTGGAAACCAAACAAACAAATGAAATGGGAATTCTTGAGGTTGCTGCATTCTAAGGTTACTTCTTATGCTCTTTGGGCTCTCAAGTCACTGCTCTGATTCGGTCACCCCCAAGTTATCTCAGTTCTCTCTCGTTCAGGATGTCCAAGTTCTGTTATTCAAAACATGATTGCTATTTGCCTTTGGAAAACCAATATTCCATTCTAGCAAACAAATTAATCTGCACCTGATCACCATGAAGCTAATTCCTGGAATCTGAACAGCCCCTTTGTTCTGGCTAAGTCTGGTCCCTGCCTTAATCTGATCAGTTGCTTGATCAAAGCAGAGACAAGATTTGCAAAATTTGGATCCCAGTTCGTTGCATAAGCATGGCATCTGTGCCATTGGAAGTAAGGGAATCTCCAAGGGTTAAAAAGGTGTGTTTTTCAAATCTGACTAGCATTTGTCAAATCGGCATTTCAAATCTGTATTTCCTGTCTCAAATATATTTACAAGTAAAATGTTTGTTACATTTTGATTTACTTGCATAATATAAGATCAGCATGTCACATGTGAATGCTTCATGTTTCATGGACTCTGCCAATCAATTCCATGAGGCTCATGACTGATAGGATGGCACAGCCACTGAGGATGGCTGAGTGTGATAACTTTTTGGTTTTGAGTCTGGTCAAGCTCAACATAATGTTTGAAGTCCTCTATTAAACTTGAGCTCAATTTTATTGCATGGTTTGCTGAAGATGAGTAGATTCTTATTTATTTTTTTCATGGCTTGGCAGAAGCCTGACAGTGAGTAGGAGTATAAACTGTGTTGTGTCTCCAACAGTTCACAGGACCTGCAGCCCAGGATTGATAGCTTTTGGTTTTCAAGGCAGACCTATCTTGTCTAGGGAATTTCTGAAACTTCCCTAACCATATCACCTTTGTTAAGAGGAGCAAAATTAATCCTGTGATAGTGTGTTTGAATTCTGCAGACCTACATATTTTTCCCTTCATGTGTTAGGATTTGCTTTTGCAATCTCTA